ATACAGGGTGCTTCAAAAAAATGTATACACACTTTGAACTTCCATAGAAAATTTATTTACCGTTCTACAAAGTTAAATTTCAGGAAAATAGAAAGCTGAAAGTCCAATGTAAATGAAACATAAATAACAAATGTTAATACTGTTCAAATTGGTGACCTGCAGCATCAATACAATTCTGAGTACGAGTCACCACAGATTCTGTACATCGTATCAAAACGTCCAATGAGATTTCTCTACACACTGCTTGAATCTCATTCCAAAGAATGTCTAGGTTACGTGGTTTACGTTTGTACACCTCATCTTTTACTGTGCCCCACAAGAAGAAATCCAGTGGTGTAAGGTCTGGAGAGCGTGGTGGAAACTCGATTGGCCCCCTGCGTCCTATCCACTGGCCCGGCAAATTTTGATCCAGGTAAGCTCGTACGTCCCTGTGATAGTGCGGCGGAGCACCATCTTGTTGAAAATAAAAATCATCATTATCGTATAATGCACGAATGGCAGGAAATATGGAATCAGCAAGCATTGTTAGGTAATTAATACCAGTTACAGTGCCTTCAAATCGAAAAGGTCCAATGAGTCCCCTTGAAGACAAACCGCACCACACATTTACACCAGGCAAATTTACAGCTTTTTCAATTGTAATGTGAGGATTTTCTTCACACCAGTAAACACAATTGTGCCTATTGACAGTTCCATTAAGTTTGAATTGGGCTTCATCCGACCAAATGATGCTACCCATAAATCCCGGTTTACGTATCACCATCTCCTGAATCCATTCACAAAATTGCAACCTTCGATCTGGATCGTCGTCATTTAGCTGTTGCACCAGCCTTGGAATGTAAACACGATACTTGCCTCTCTTCAGAATGCGTAGCACGCTGCTAGCACTTACATCACTTTCACATGCCCCTTGCCTTGAAGATTTGTTAGGAGAGCGTTGAAACAGTTCCAAGACTGCCGTTGATGACTCATCACTTGTAGCTGTTCGAGGCCGACCTGAATGACCTTTATGCACATCACACACTGTTCCATGAACTTCGAATTTGTCTCGTATGCGTGTAATTGTTAATCTTGAAGGTGGTTCTGTATCATACTCCCTTCTCCACTGTCTTTGAACTTCATTTACATTTTCAAACTTCCAGTACCACTTAATAACCTGCTTACGTTCTTCAAAACTCAAACGTACGTCCCCCATGTTGATATTACAAATTCCAACTGATAATATAACATAGAGGGACGATTATGCTGCCACCTGGCGAAGAAATATAACATTAGCCTTGTAGAGCGGGAAAACTACAATAGTTCAAAGTGTGTATACATTTTTTTGAAGCACCCTGTATATTATGACAAAAAAAAAAAAATCTGTTTCTGAATTCCAAGTCATTCAATTTCACAAATCTTTTTATATATACATACAGTTGAATCCATTTAATAGAGCATTGGGTAAGGGATCAGCAGGATTCCTGTTAACAAAGCACTGGATAGTAAAGTAGTCCATTTAAATGAGCACCACGTCAGCAGTCCATATAAGGAACCACTATTCTAAGAAAGGTTTGAGGGCTTATCTTTAATCTTACCATAAATCACTATAAATCACCATTCAGAGCACATGTGACAAGTCTCTACACTATGGTATATGTTATGTGGAGATTTAGTGAAATCTTCCATTGGTCAATTTTCTAATACAATCAGACAATCAAGAGATTTCTTACAGAATCATAATGAACAGGTTTAGTTGGTGACATGTATGCGAAGCAATTACAGATTAAAAAAGTATCATAAAATATATTGTATTTTCTTGATTGTAATGCACCATCAAATCTAATGTGTACCAGATTTTCAAAAATCAAAACTGAAATATGTTAGTTTGTGAATGTAATGCACACCCTATATTGAAAACATAGCCACTGAAGCTAATGCATTTAAACAGTAATAAACATATTTTTTTGAAAAGCATTTTATTTTCACTTTTACAATGCTTCACAATGTCCACATTGTAGACATTATGAAGCACTGTGTAAATATGAAAATGTATTATTTTTATTAATTCAAACACAAATTATTTATTGTATTTATTCAGACACTTGGCAAATCTCATCATNCAGTATTATATTTATATTTTTAATGTAATTTTTAATATTTAAAAAATAATATATTAAAATATTACAAAAATATTTTTTTAATGTATTCATTTATAACTCCATTATCAGGTATAGAGGATCTGTGGACCAATAAAAATCACAGCCAAAATTACCAAACAATCAACAATTTAACAGAGAGATTTCACATTGGTATGAAAAAGTATGAAATATACCAGATGCATGGTGTCACATCAAAATATCTGTTCTACAGCAAGTGAATAGCTCTATGCTTAAACATGATTTTATAGGAATTCATCTGTTGTACATTGATCACTCAACTTGCTCTAAACTCTCCAAAAACCTCTAAACTATTCCATAACTAAAATTAAAGGAGCAGGAGGGATGTGTACAATGTTTACACTAATGTCATAATACATGCAATTGACAAGAAGAGTGAAGAAAAAATGACACAAACAAGACAACCACGGTCTGTCAGATGTGTGTGTGAGCACATAACTGATGAATTAAAAATACCACTCAACTTCTGCTAGGTGCATCACTTGACCAAAATGTTCCAAATAAATATATCTTATTTTTCTGTATAATTTGAATATGTAATAAAAAATGAAAGTTTCCATTTGAAAATATGACATTCATTTCAGCAGTAGTAATGCCATTATGAGCGAATATAGTGCCATTTTGTGTCTTCCTTGATGCAGGACATTTTTTTTGTATGATGCATATTTTTCAAGATATTTGGATGTTAATTAAAATAGAATACTCTGTATAGGAAACAAGAACTGAATTCATAGAATGAATAGGAAAATAGAAATTTGAAGAAAAGAACATATAGGCTTTACATATATATAATATAAAGCCTATATATATATATATACTACAAATATATAGCTACTATATATATATATATATAAAAGCACCTTTGAGTCTTAAGGGAAAAATAGCAAACTGGGTAGGAAAAGAAGGACATTGAGGACCAGAAGAAATGATTTTTGATAAAAATCTTGCTTAATTATTTTAACCAAACAAAACTTAAATTCCATTGTATTTAAAACTGGATAGTATTATCTATAACAGGAGCTTCCTGCAGAACCCTAGGCTTCCAAAATAAAATTTATTGAGTCTAGTTATGTATGAATGTGCCAATCAGGATTTGGGACGCAAGGTGTAATTGTTCTAGTCTTGGATCGAGTCCTTGTATCATCATACAAGTACTCATCTGAGACTATAGATATGCTAAAGTTATTTATAACTTTATAAACAGTACGGACTGATTTATCGGTAATGGAACGAACCAAAATCATGATATAATGTTTGAGAAGGTAATGAAACCATAAAAACAGTAAAACATAAACTAAAGCTATAAAGTCATTAAAAAAATCAAAACCTTAAAAAGAATCCAACATATAAATAAAACTACAATTGTTAAATCTATATAAAAAGCAAAATATTCTGTCACCACTGCATACAAATAACAAATTCAAAAATAAATTTAATTTAAAATTTGAAAATTTCAAAACAACTTTTAAAAATATTGTTTTAATTTTCAATTGATTTGACAAAACGACTTCCAACTACTTAACACTGTGTTGAATAATAACAATCCACGAAACCTTTTTTTTACAAGTGTTATGTCCATAGTAAACTCCACAAATGCTTTCG